AAGCTCTAGCTACCATACCTCATTACACTCTACATGATATGGTAAACTTTATTTAATTGTTGATCCAGCTATAGTTATCACACCTCATTACACTCTACATGATATGGTAAACTTTATTTAATTGTTGATCCAGCTCTAGTTATCATACCTCATTACACTCTACATGATATGGTAAACTTTATTTAATTGTTGATCCAGCTCTAGTCACCATACCTCATTACACTCTTGAATGCCTGAAAGAAACTGAAATTAAAGCACAATTTGTTACAGACCGTGCTGGTGCATGTTTTAATATATAGTGCTAACGATTTCACGTTTTTAGTATTTTTAATATGATTGTAAAACTAGATAAGTTCCATAGGTGAGCAGTGTGATTCTTGTTAAGCATTGTGTAAATGTGATGTTTGAATGGGGATGGGTTATGAGCATTTTACGGGTATTTAATTTAAGATATATCAGTCAACTATCAGTCAAACATTAAAGAACTACTTCTATTTAAGATCTGTGTTTTGGTTATGCTACAAACATTAAAGAACTACTTCTGTTTAAGATTTGTGTTCTGGTTATGCTACAAACATTAAACAACTACTTCTATTTAAGATTTGTGTTCTGGTTATGTTACAAACATTAAAGAACTACTTCTATTTAAGATCTGTGTTTTGGTTATGCTACAAACATTAAACAACTACTTCTATTTAAGATCTGTGTTCTGGTTATGTTACAAACATTAAACAACTACTTCTATTTAAGATCTGTGTTCAGGTTGTGTTACAAACATTAAACAACTACTTCTATTTAAGATCTGTGTTCTGGTTATGTTACAAACATTAAACAACTACTTCTATTTAAGATCTGTGTTCAGGTTACGTTACAACATTAAACAACTACTTCTAGTCCTAACTACTAAGATAAGTATGTTTGTTTTAAATACAGTTGATTCATTTATCTGATTTTCTTTGATAAGTACCTGTAGACAAAGCCATGATAGCCCCATCATTCAAGCAAAGCCTTGAGGATCTCAAGATTAGGGATGGAGAACCAATTATTTTAAAATGTGTTGTAGCAGGGGACCCAGAACCAAAGGTGGAATGGTTGAAAGAGGATAAGGTAAGGAAATTATTTTTTAATACCTTCCTCATAATAAACAAAGTTGCTATTTCCAAGCTTTTTGTCCTTAATAGATTATTTACTGAGAATATCAAATAATTAACAGGAGTTGTTATGTCATTTAGTAATAGAAATTAAAGCATGTTTTGCTTTCATAACTATGTGCAATGATTATTTCAAAAAATCCTCAAGCCATCTTTGTTTCAGGTTTATTTGTTACCTACATTTCAACATACCTGAAAAACTTTTCTTCAGTTCCTATAAGTATTATAATGTCTAGATAATGTTAAAAGTACAGGTTATGGTTAGAATTACAGGACATTATCATCCAGTCACAATGTTGTTGGTAGTTTAACAGAAACATACTGCCAATGGACTAAGTTAGACTTTGCATAGACCAGTTCTGTCTGGCTTTCACCAACAAGATTATATATTAAGTAACTGACATGAATATGGACTAGGTTAGACCTGCATAGACCAGTCCAATCTGTCCTTCACCAGCAAGATTATACATTAAGTAACTGACATGAATTTGGACTAGGTTAGACCTGCATAGACCAGTCCAATCTGTCCTTCACCAGCAAGATTATACATTAAGTAACTGACATGAATTTGGACTAGGTTAGACCTGCATAGACCAGTCCAATCTGTCCTTCACCAGCAAGATTATACATTAAGTAACTGACATGAATTTGGACTAGGTTAGACCTGCATAGACCAGTCCAATCTGTCCTTCACCAGCAAGATACATTAAGTAACTGACATGAATTTGGACTAGGCTAGACCTGCATAGACCAGTTCTTTCTGGCCTTCACAAACAAGATTCTACATTAAGTAATTGACATTAAATATTTTATTAGATTCTTCACTCCTCAGAAATCATTGACTTGAAGTACAAAAATGGTGTTGCCACCCTGATGATTTCTGAAGCCTTCCCTGAAGATGAGGGTGAATACATTTGTAGAGCTTCAAATCCTTTAAACACTGTCTCCACCAAGTGCAAGTTAACAATCCTTCGTAAGTACTGTGAAAATTCAAATATTTTGCATTTTTGTTTAATAACATCATAATAGAGACAAATTTCTGTACATGTTTTGTTGTATTTTATAGTTAGCTATTTTATCAGAGTCATTTGTCTGTCAAACTCTTTAAATTCTTCAGTTTGTTTAGACTGAATAAACACATCACAAGTGAAACTTATAAAAAAAAAATTAAGTACATTTTTAACATTACATTTTGCTAGAGAAAAATAATTAGCTAAGACAAATCTAAGTATGTTTAAATAGTAAGATAATTATATTCTGATATCATGATAGTTTAGAAATACATCCAAAATCTTCCTTTTTGTTTCCATATCTGTGAAGGCAGAATATTCACATTAATTAGAGTTGAAATAGAAATAACTATATGCTTTTTTGTCTCTAAACACCTACTTTAACTGTTACGTAATATTCTTAAAACATCTCTTCCTGTATCCAACATCACCACAGAAATGAACACTCAAAATTGTTGAAGCTCAGCTTCTAAAATGTGACAGAGAAGAAACTTCTGAAATGATGATAAATATATATAATATTTTGTTGTTATAGCTATGGAGGGAGGAGCAGCAGCTGGTAAAGGGGCAGAAAACAAACCTCCTCGAATCACAGAACACCTGAAAAGCTTTGTTCTTAAAGATGGAGATCCAGTAACTCTGCAGTGTACAATTAAATGTAAATATTTTTACTCTTACAAGAATACGATAGAAAATGTATAAAGTAAAATTGTTTTCTTTGATTCTTTTGATATTCTTAAAGATATAATGCCTTTCATATGCCATGCAAGCACATGTGTAGTAAGGAAAAAACTTCCAACTTATAGGACTGAAGAACATACAATTGCTCCTCAGTTTCTTTCAGAAATGTGTCTAGCTTTTAGTGCCATTTAACTCGTCACCTTTACAAGCTGTTGAAGTCTGTTCCGATATAGTTTACATTGCTACTTGACAGTAATGTTTCCTGATCAACTATACAAGCTGTTAAGGTTTGTTCTGACATAGTTTTGCTACTTGACAATAATGTTTCTTGTTCACACAAAAGGTTAAAAGAATTTCATTAAAATCAAATGTATAAAAATCGACCATACATTTCAACACAGTCTAGTGTTATTCTCAGTGGCTGCCTTTTTGTTGTATTATTTCAGTTGTTTCTATTTTCTGCAGGAAATGAAATTAGAATTTTTATTTTTAAATAATTTATATGATTTTCAAACACAGTGTATTTTAGCTTTTAAATGTTAATATTTTCACTTAAGAACAGTCTATGTTTTACTCTTTCAGAAAAAGTCATGCATCAAAACCATAATGAAAGTCTACAAAAATTGTAAAAATATATTGAAAACTTATTCTTTAGTTGTAGAGATACTGATTATTTTAGCTCCTTTAAAACTATAAAACTTATTAAGAGTTATCAGTGAGTTTTTCAAGACCCAGATTGAGAAGAGTCTTCTGAACATTAAAGGTCCCTCAAAGTTTGATGTGATTTGGCTCCACAATGACAAAGAAATCAAACCCAGCAAGGACTTTGACTACAGGCATGATGGTGATGCTTACCAGCTAGTGATCAGTGAGATTTTCCCCGAAGATGGTGGATTCTACACGTGTGAAGCTTTCAATGATGGAGGCGAAGCATTTAGCAGCTGCACGCTGGTAGTTTTAGGTAGACTGAATCAGCTAATTTTCTTTTTAAGTTATTTAGATATAGTACTGAAATTTGTTCTCTCCAAATTTGAATTTAAAAACTATTATACTAACCATTTCAAAAGGTATTTTGTTAAAAGCAATTAAAGGATATTTAACATAAAGTATATTTGTTTTTTTAATTGTGTTACACTTACATATATCTTAAGGTAAGTTTGTTTTTTAATTATGTTACACTTACATATGTCTTAAGGTAAGTTTGTTTTTAATTGTGTTACACTTACATATGTGTTAAGGTAACTTTGTTTTTAATTGTGTTACACTTACATATATCTTGAGGTAACTTTGTTTTTAATTGTGTTACACTTACATATATCTTGAGGTAAGGTTGTTTTTTAATTGTTACACATATATATCTTGAGGTAAGTTTGTTTTTTAATTGTGTTACACTTACATATGTGTTAAGGTAAGTTTGTTTTTTAATTGTGTTACACTTACATATGTGCTAAGGTAAATTTGTTTTTTAATTGTGTTACACTTACATATATCTTGAGGTAAGGTTGTTTTTTAATTGTTACACATATATATCTTGAGGTAAGTTTGTTTTTAATTGTGTTACACTTACATATATCTTGAGGTAAGGTTGTTTTTTAATTGTTACACATATATATCTTGAGGTAAGTTTGTTTTTAATTGTGTTACACTTACATATATCTTGAGGTAAGTTTGTTTTTTATTGTGTTACACCTACATATATCTTGTCATTTTGTTTACCTTAAATCACTAAGCTAAGCTATGTGTACACAGGCTAAGACCAGCATTCGTTTTACTGCATCATTATGTGTGAAACAACAGAATCAAAGTAAATACACAAACTGAGTTCCTAGTCAAAGAAAACTCAAGAACAATCTGAGATTCACTGGGAAAGAAAGGAGCTTACATATTTTTGAAAATTTAAAAGAAAATAGTGCATTTAACAAAATGTCTTTCAATTTCTTAGATTTGGTAAACTTGATGAGTATTTTACACTAGTTCTGAAAACAATGGACATGTAATGAAACGTTAAAATTATCCTCAAGTTATTTTACTATTTTCGATTAACTGTTTTGTAATTTATTTAATTTTGCAATAGCCTAAAAAATGCCACTGAATATATCATTTTATTACAGGTATCATCATTATATTGAATAATAATTTTAAAGATTACTCACATGATATCTCAAAAAGCATTAGAAATGTTTGGAATGAGATATAGCAGAAGGTTTTACTTACTCTTGGTAATATTTAAGTCCTAAGTTTATATTAGACTAGAAGTCAAGCAACTGTAGGTGAATCTGGCTGTTGAGTTGTTTAAAAGTTTATATATTTACCAGTTGTTATTTTAGTGTTAATCTCACATGAAAACTAAAATTGTTTATGGTTTCTCTCAGTTCCTAAAGAGCCTTTGAAAGGTCCTGTATTTGTGGAATTTCCACAGTCTGCTACCGTTGTTGAAAATCAACCAGTTACTTTTAAAGTCACAACAGAAAAGAAAGCTGTCTCAGGTTTGTATTCAAAACTTGGAATCTTTCTCTGGTTGATACAATATTTCATCAGGTTTGTTGGGTCAAATACAAAAATGTAGTAGAATATAAAAGATGTTTTTAAAGGACTTGAATAGCCCTTGTCAGTGAAATTCAAAATTATGGAAGACCCACAATATGAACATGTAAAATTATTTAAAGAAAAAAAATATATATATACACATTTTATTTTGTGTGTGTGTGTGTGTGTGTGTATGAGGTTTTGCTGCTGACTCTAAGACCACAGTCAATACAATCCTAAAAACTATATAATAAAAGGTTTCAATGTATGTTTGTATATAACTGTGTGTATATCAGGATACTACTGGCCATAATACCAAAGTCCAGACAACACTAACAACTCTATATAATAAAAGGTATCAAAGTATGTAGATATGCAGTTGTGTGTATATGAAGCTGCTGCTAGCCATAATATGACCATCCAGACAACCCAAACTCATTATAATAATTGATTTCAAAGTATGTTTATATGTACTGTGTACATAGCGCGGTCACAAGTAAATAGACACTACCTTTTCAGAAAAAAATGAAATTTTTCAGTCATGTTCACGT